GTGTGTCCCGAGCAAGTCAGGGGAATGCAAAAAGAAAGAGGGAGGTCAACTGCACATGTAATGAATTATAAATAATCTGAGGAGACTCAAAATGAAAAAAGCTAAAACATGATACAATTACCCATCAACATAAGCCCAAAGGCCATCAAAGCTCTTTAAGGCAGAACTCCAGACAGATAAGACACATTCATTAAGCAAATCCGGTCTAAATACAAGTCATGTGTATTCTTCCTTTGTGTGCTGTGCATTTCTTTAACCACTTGTTAAACCGCGGTTAAATGTGGGGGTGGGGACTTAAGAATTTTTAGGGAGGTTTTTAAACTATTTTTATATGTGACTTTTTCTTTTTACTTATATTTTTTTTCTTGCACATTTTACATAGAGGGATAACAATCCCCCTATATAATAGCACAGGTACACTGACAGGTCCTCGTTATGGAGACATTAGGGGTCTCTGGGACTCCTGTCACCTGGGGACCCCAAAAGAAGCCGATGAAGCAGAAATCTGCTTCTTCTGTGCTGACCTGATCCGTACGCTCCTGCACTAAAAATGCATCCCAATGTATCCCTATGTGTTTTATGGGCTACAGTTCTCACGTGCGCAGTCCGTTCAGGTTACGACAGAAAAATACTTCATGTCACATTTTGTACGGTCAGTAAACGGTCCGGAAACGCAAAACGCACTGCAGCTACATACTGACAGCCCCACTCCAGCAAAAAATAAAATATTTTTTTTTTAACTGGAACGCATCAAAGGGTCATGTGAACAGACCCTTAAGTGTAAAACTGCACAGGCCGAGTGCAATGGAAGCCACTGATGTGTGTTTTGGCCCCATAGACAATTCCACCTAGAAAAAGTGAACACTCTTTTTGTGCTACAAGAAACCACGCTCAGGTGTGCACAGGCACCCCTAAAGAGATTTGAATTGTTGCATTTTAGGAAACACAACAAAATCGCTCAGATGTGGGTACTAACACTTCCAGATAACAAGTAGACCCCCCAGTGAGGACCTCAGATATTCCTTAATCCCGATTGCCAGGCTCATCAAACTGTCAGAAGGTCAGCAGCATCATCCTCGTTAAGAAATGAAAGCGGCTGAACAAAACCCAACAGCGATAAGCCATGGAAAAACATTGCCCTATAATGAATGGAATCTCAGCTTGTGGTTGCAGTCAGGTATACATTGAGGACACATTTCTCTGCTCTGGCTGATAAATAATGTAGAAGTAGTCACAGACCCAGCCTGCCAGTCCTCAGCTCATCTCTGCAGCAATGACTATTGCAGAATACTCAGCATGACTGATGACAGGCAATGTGTCATCAGATATAAATAAACCCGGTGCATGCTCTGGAGACATCGGCGTCTCTGGAGGATTTGTAGCAGCACAGATCGCGAATGATCAGCAGACTGGCAGTGTATGTGCGCCCTGTCACCACCCCCATCCCCGGTCCTCTCACACTGCATACTGTACAATAGAGGCCAGATGGGATAGGCAGGTCTACATGAAGGCCGGGGAGCAGCCACTGACAGCGCGATCAGCGTTACCTGCAGGGCGGACGGGGGGCCCGGGAATCACAATAGCTGTCACAATAGACTCGGCCGCATCCTCCAGGAGATCACAGTGCTGAAAACCACACCGGCGCAGCCAATGATGTCACGGCCCGAACCCCGGGACCCGCCCCTTCCGCAGCCGCAAACCAATGGGTGCTGCCGGACATCAGCATCCACACCACCACCCTCCTCTTATAGACACCCACCGCGGGCGCCCAGTCCCCGCACAGCGGCCATTCACTGAGCTGCTCAGCACTGGAGATGGGTCACATGCTGGACACACCTACCCAACAAAAGCAGCACGTGACCCAGACACTCATCACTGCAGACATCCCAGCACTTTCCTATAGCAACCAGATACATTGTTTCAGATCCACCCATCAATCCATCCTTGAGCAAAGACAGCAAGCAGCTGGGTCCAGCTTCCCTAAAACTCACCACACAGGTTACAATCTAATTGTACAATCTCTTCTGGAATTACCAAAACGATATGAGGTTGCAAACTGTACAATCCATATCACAGCAGGCAGGCAGCTCCACAAGATAGATGTAAAATATTATATACAATCTGATTGTATAGGGCAGGGCTAGCCAAACTCTGGCCCTCCAGCTGTGGTGAAACTACAAATCCCATGGTGAATCTCTATGGGAGTCATCCATGTGGCGGTGAGAATCTTGCAATGCCTCATGGGATTTGTAGTTCCACCACAGCTGGAGGGCCGGAGTTTGGCTCCCCCTGGTATAGGGTGTCTAGAGCTAGGCATACACATAGATAGATTAGATAGATAGGATAGATATCTCAGTGAGCTCCTCCTTGTATAAGAACATCCCAAGAGAACTCAGCGAGAGTCACACTGTAGAAGAACATCCCAAGAGAACTCAGCGAGAGCCAGCCTGTAGAAGAACATCCCAAGAGAACTCATCGAGAGCCAGCCTGTAGAAAAACATCCCAAGAGAACTCAGCGAGAGTCACACTGTAGAAGAACATCCCAAGAGAACTCAGCGAGAGCCAGCCTGTAGAAGAACATTCCAAGAGAACTCAGCAAGAGCCACACTGTAGAAGAACATCCCAAGGGAACCCAGTGAGAGCCACACTGTAGAAGAACATCCCAAGAGAACCCAGCGAGAGCCACCCTGTAGAAGAACATCCCAAGAGAACCTGGTGAGAACCACCCTGTAGAAGAACAGCCCAAGAGAACTCAGCGAGAGCCACCCTGTAGAAGAACATCCCAAGAGAACCCGGCGAGAGCCACACTGTAGAAGAACAGCCCAAGAGAACCCAGCCAGAGCCACCCTGTAGAAGAAAATCCTAAAGAGAACTGAGCAAGCTCCACCCTGTAGAAGAACATCCTAAGAGAACTCAGGGAGCTCCACCTTGTAGAACAGTGGTTCTCAACCTTTCTAGGGCCGGGAACCCTTGGTAACTAACGGTAAAATGTAGGGATGACACGGCTGCTGCAGCAACATCTGGCGGCGTGGTGGGAGAACTGACACTGCTGCGCTAGGAGAGGGCTGAGGAGGACTCTCACCTGGCACAGCAGAAATCACACAGCGACCCACAGGTTAAGAACCACTGGCATACGCCGTCAGAATAATAAAACAAAAAAACACCTCCATAGGAATGCATAGCTAGATTCCTATTAGCCATTTCACTTTGCAATAGCCAATTGCAAACTAGCTATTGCACCAGCCCTCTGCTGCTGTCAATCACGAGAAGAGGACCTGATGGAGCACTCCAGGTCCCTCTCTGCTGATTGGCTGCAGCAGAGGGCGGGTGCAATAGCTAGTTTGCTATTGCAAAGTGAAAAGCCAATAGGACTCTAGCCATGCATTCCTGTGGAGGTTTTTTTTTCCGACTTACAGCAGTCCCCAATGTCAGTAAAAAAAAAACAAAAAAAAAAAAAACGATTGCAGGGGAAAGTTTACTCTGCTCGATCAAGCACAGTAAACCTTTCCGGGAGAAAGTGCTTCTCTCCCGGCCGGCCAGGCAGCCTTTTGCAAGTTTACCCCCTTAACAAAAACTTCTTACTGCCTGTTCTGGTGACAGTTTTACCAGACAGGAAGGGGAACTTTTCAAAAGGGCAGACTATTTTTTTTTGGCTTAAGGTAATAAAACCGGTCACTTTTGTTATTGTCCATTTCTCTGCTGCAATTTACCCTCACTTGCCATCGGGCCAAGGTGTCACCTAGCTCCAATGGAGCGCCAGATAGCAGTAGGCCAAAAGCGTTAACCTTTCCCCACTCCATCCCAAACTAAGAAAAAGGATTAGCTATAGATACACCAACAAGGAACAAATAGAACGGCCGTAGCATAAAGTACAACGTGCCCCAGGCCACAGTGACCTCACATACCTCAAAATTATTCTTTCAACAAACAAAGCAGCACAAATGGGGAAGTGATAACAGAAGCTATAGTAATGCACAACAAACCAGAGAGCCAGGAATTCAGGTGCATGTTAAATATTAGACACTGCACACATCTAATATACAGGTAATGTTCTCCAGCAATTAATATTGGGAGGACTGAACAAAAGGATGCTCACATTTTATGACCGATGTAAAAAAAAAAAAAAAGTTCCAGAATCTGAACATCTTTTACGTTATGTAAAGAGATTTTCCTGCACGTCTCGTCCCAAAGACAACAGAAAACAAGAGGAAATCGCCCCAGAGTAAGCGGGGAGAGGAACGCTTCAATTCTTATCAACCAACAGGAGGCGCATTAGAAGTCTCTTCCATCCCACTTCCGCAGACAACTGTAAAGTTTGGATTTCCCATCACTTTCTGTTCCAGCGGCAATGACAAATAAAGAGCTCTTGGGAGGAGCTATGCAAATATCAAAAATACCTTAAAGGGTGAATGTCAATCTGGAAGAGTGGGTATTCCTGGGCAGGCTGCCATTTGCATGCAGGTCGCCCACATGTGATGCTGATGACTAAAAGAACTAGAATCCAATGAATGAAAAAGGAACAGGGACCATCAGGTTGGGAAGGAAACAGCCAGATGATGCCGGACATCCTCCGCTGTAAATGAGGCGCCTCCATCAAACTTGTTGCAGCTTATAATGCACATTTGAGAATCTCAGTGTACAGTGAAACCAGAAGACGACATTTCAGTACAGAGGAGTCGGTTCAACTGTGCAAGACTGAAGGCAAGGCTGGAGTTCAGCTTTATATAAATTTGTGAAAAACATCCAATTGTGACCCCATCAGGAAGATTTCACCCACTTCTTGTGCCCATTACAACCATGGCAAATGGAGGTGCAGTGACCACTGAAAGGAAAAGCCATGAACAATACCACAATATGTCAGCAGCAATAAACCTTTAAGTGCCCGACCACTCCCCTCAAGAGAAACCTCAGTAGGGACAGCAATAAAAACTAGGGCTGCAACAACTAATCGATAATTGGAATTATTGTCAACGATTCTCGGTATCGATTAGCTGATTGTTCGATTAGTTGTAGCCGCTGCCACTCTGCTCCTCCCTGCTGTTGCAAGCTGCAGCAGTCTGTGTCCCTTTCGATCCCCGCTTTAATTGGCAGAGGCAGGGGGACACAGACCGCTGCAGGCAGCACTAGCGGGAAGGAGACCGCTGTGCCTCTGCATTACCCCGCTGGGGCTGTTCCTCCGCTGCATCCTCACAAATACAATATTTGTAATGGGTACAGGGTGCAATCGAGGAACCAGAAGGCTTAAAAGCACGTTCAAATATCTTACCAATTGTGGGGTCCAAGCATCTGGAGAGAGTTAGGATTCATTTCACACAAGCAGCAGACCTACCACCCTGTGAAATACAAATCAGAGGGCACTAGATCAGTGGCTTCCAGGAGGAGCTACTGCCGCACCTCCTGAATGATTTCTCTGCCCTGAAGGGGCATTTTGCATGGAACTACTGCACCACGGCCCATTCACATCAACGGTCATGTCTGGCAAGAGACAGGTCTAATTTTTATGCACTGCAAAACATCGCGGCAGTGACAACATACAGCACGGTCAGTCTGCATTGCATATGACCGGGTGGCGGTAAAAACGCAGATCAACTATGTAACTATAAAATTCCAGCACACGTGGCGAAGGGGGTTCTTTACAGTGAGAGCGGGTAGGGTCTGGAACTCACTGCCGCAGGCAGTGATTTCAGCAAAAAATGTGGAATTGTTCAAGAAACTTTTGGACGATTTCTTAAGGGACCGTAATATACAGGGGTACAAGTACTCATAAGAATGAGATCCTAATAGGTTGGACTTGATGGACTAATGTCTTTATTCAACCTCAAATACTATGTAACTGCCTGCTTTTATAGCCCCTTTGCTGCTCCTGTGAACGACACCTTACTTAGAACTACATGGTGGACATTTAGTGGAGTCCTAGACCTTTGAGTGTACCATCACCCGCTCCCTAAGAGGATAAAAGATAGTGTCGCATCTCCTACAAAATGTTGCAGAAATTAATTTTCACTTTTCTATATCGCTGATGATTGTTTAAAGGAGAACTATGGGGTTAAGTCTTTTCCCCATAGTTCACCTTAGGGTAACGGGAGGACACAAACTAGCGTCCTCCCGTCACCCTAGGCTCAGTATACTGTGAGCTATAGCCCACGGTATACTGAGACGCCACAGCTGAAGCGGATCCCGACAATTGTGCCGGGATCTGCCCAGCTGCGTGACTGACAGCTGGCTCTGCCTATCTAAAGGCAGTGCCAGCTGTACCCGGCCCCTGCCCCGTCCGTTCCGCCAGTCAGCGCTGGCGGATCGGAGAGGGGGGAATCCAGCCCCTCCCCTGTCACGGCAGAGAGCCGTGACAGGATCGAGAGGTGAGCGAACGCCGGTATGTGTTCGCTCACCTCCCGATCTACTGAGCCGACCTGTGACAGTCTCATTGTCACAGGTCGGCTAGAACTATGAGGTGAGTGAAAAGCACTCACCTCATAGTTCTCCTTTAAGGACTGCATATGGTCTTTGTATGTTGGCAGCTACACAGATGCAAGTGGCAAGAACAATGTTTGAAAATTGCTGGTTCAACCCTTATATTGCCGGACCATTTTTTCCCCCTACACCTTAATGAAGAACTCCAAGCATTTTAAAAATGAACCCTTGCACTTGGGCTATCCCCAAAATTACAGGGGTTAAGGGCCGTCCCCGCATTACAAGGGTTCAGGGCTATGGGCTCATTTTGTAGCCTCAGTCCCCGCAGCCTCTTCTGCTCCGGTGGCCTAATATCTGTGACGTCATCACATCCATTGCACATGTGGATGCCTAGCTACATTCCATAGCTGGAGCGGAGGGGGAGAGGTGAGCAGTCACCACCATAGGACCGATGATCAGGTGAACATTTATTTATTAAGGCACCTAGATGAAAACAAGCACATAACCCTTGCAGTGTGGGAAATAGCCCCAATTTTTAAGATGCCTGGAATTCTTTAAAAAAAAAAAAAAAAGTTCAAAACTTAAGACCCCAAACGCTTTATGTGAAATAGCCCCAATTTTTAAGATGCCTGGAATTCTTTAAAAAAAAAAAAAAAGTTCAAAACTTAAGACCCCAAACGCTTTATGAAAGCAGAGGTCTTGCAGAATAAAAATGTAGGTGATGCATTAGGGTTCCTTATCATCTTGTCTTGAATTGTATTGGGATTGAAATGTCTGCTCTATATTGTAAAGCACCGCACAAACTGTTGGCGCTATATAAATCCTGTATAATAATAATTCACATGGGCAATCAGCTACTTGGTCTGGCGGTAGAGAAACTTCAGCCAGGGATGCAGCCAGATTAGTACCAATCACTGGTGCCACCACTGTTCACATGTAGCGGCCTCTGGCTGACTCTGGACACAGACAGTTCCGCACACAGTGCAAGCTTCCTCTTGTCATAACTAATTGTCCAGTGCATGTGGCCATTGCCGTTTAGCCTAATCACTAGTGTGAAGGAGACCTTAAATTACAGGATTACAATGCAAGTTTAGAGACATATTAAAAGTCTACGGTGGGGAATTTATTAAAACTGGAGCAGAGAACATCTGGAGCAGATGTGCATGGCAACCAATCAGCTTCTCTCCAGTTTATCCAGCTGAGATGAAAATGAGAGCCAGAAGCCGATTGGTTGTCATGCACATTTGCTCCAGATTTTCTCTGATCCAGTTTTAATAAATCCCCCTCTAAGCATCTTTAAAGAAGAACTAGGAGGAGAGTGATTTTCACTCATCCTCATAGTTCGAGCCGGCGTGTGACAATGAAACAGTCACACGTTGGCTCAATAGATCAGGAAGTGAGCAAATGCCTACTGCCGCTTGCTCACTTCACTGCAGAGAGCCATGACTGTCACTCACAGCTCCCTGCAAGGATTGCCCCTCCACGTCTGATCCTCACGTGCCGACTGGTGAAACGGATGGGGGCGGGTACAGCTGGCTCTACCTCTAGATAGACAGAGCCAGCTGTCACTTACACAGCTGGGTGCATCTTGACAGTAATGTCGGGATCCGTCCCGGCTGAGTGGCACCGGTAGTCCCGGCTGAGTCAGTCTCAGTATAACGCAAACTGTAGCTCGCGATATACTGAGCTTTGGGTCACGGGAGGTCGCTAGTTTATGTCCTCCCGTGACCCTTAGGAGAACTATGAGGAAAAACACTGACCCCATAGTTCTCCTTTAAAAAAGGAGGAGAAGTATGATGTGAGTGAAAATTACTCAGCCTCATAGTTCTAGCCGACCGGTGACAATGAAATTGTCACCGGTCGGCTCAGTAGATCAGGAAGTGAGCGAACACATACCGTTGCTCGCTCACTTCCCGATTCTGTCCCTGCAGAGAGCCGTGACTGTCACTCACGGCTCCCTGCAAGGATTGCCCCTCCACGTCTGATCCTCACGTGCCGACTGGTGAAACGGATGGGGGCGGGTACAGCTGGCTCTGCCTCTAGATAGGCAGAGCCAGCTGTCACTCACGCAGTAGGGTGGATCAACAGTAATGTTTGGATCCGTCCCGGCTGCGGCGTCTCAGTATACCGCGAGCTGTAGCTCGCGGTATACTGAGCTTTGGGTGACGGAAGGACGCTGGTTTGTGTCCTCCCGTTACCCTTAGAACTATGGCGAAAAGTTCTTTCAAATGCTGATGAAATCACTTCCAATAGATGCTGATTCTTGTTGTTTCCTGCAGAATCAGCTGGTCCCCTGAGCACTGGTCCTGATATGTTTTAAGGTGGTTCCTTCATGAGGCCCATTCTACTGGTCCCTCATGACAAGCTACTTGACAGGATACAAAAAAATATTTTAATCAAAACCATATTTAACCATGCTATGAAGTGCTCCTCATTGCTCAGGTATCTGTAAAGCTAATCAGGAAGACAGGTGGCGAGTCATTACACACCGCCTGGCTTCCTTAATCGGACTTCCGGTATCGGTATCAGCGAGTACAGAAAAAAAAAGTTAGTACTCGATATCGAAATACCGGCATCTCTAATATGCAGCCTTACAGAGCAAGGAGATTTTTTTTTTTTTTTTTTATACGTGTATCACAATTTGCCTGTTGTCCACACATGTCCAGGATGACTGTTATTTACATATTGTCACACTTGCCAGTTTATTGCTCCCACATAGATACAACTGCCTGCATGTTGTCCCCATATAGTCTAAAAAAAATCCCATTTGCTGCCCTCCTATGGTAACATTTGTGCATCTGTTCCTTCAAATTGTAACAATCACCTGTTTTCTGCAAACACAGTGTAAATGATTGTCTATTTACGGCCTGCATAATATCACCGATGACTGATGCAATATTACAGGTATTCATCGGTCACTGACAATTATTTTGCAGCCCTTTACATGCAGAACATTTAACCCAGTCCATGCCCTCAAGGAGCTTACAATCTAAGGTCCCTATCTCACATACCAGGGCCAAGATAGGCTCATGTATTATATTCAAATTGCCCATTTTGTGGCCCATGTATTGTGAAATGTAAGGCCTAGTTTACACCTAGGCGTTTTATGACACGGATTCAGTCGTGCGATAACGGGCAAACACAAAAAGTCATACAAGTCAACGGCGACAAGTCACACCTAAGCGTTGCGTCACGCATGCAATATCACCTGTTGTGCAAAAAGATGCAGGAGCCATTTTCAGGCAGATGCGACGGTGAGAACCGCACGTGTTTTTATTTTTTAAAAGCAAAATTGTGCAAAAAACAGCTTGACAACCACAAATCACCTAAAGGACCATTTCACAAACACAGGCCTCTCACCATCTGTATTATTGAGGGAGATTTATTAAAACTGCAGCAGTTGCCCATGACAACCAATGAGCTTCTCTCTTTCATGGGCTATCCCCGCATTACAAGCATTCAGGGCTAACCAATCAGCTTCTCTCTTTCATTTGCAAAGCCTAAAATGAACAAACTGAAGGGAGCCGATTGGTTGCCATGGGCAACTGCTCCAAATTTGATAAATCCTCCTCATTGTCACCTTTACTTGCAGCAGCAAACTGTGTGAGATTGTATATATATTATATATTACACACACACACACACGTGTGATATGTGCAGGTCACAACCCTATCTGTACTGGAATCCAGGATCCATCAATGGTCTGCCATGTCAATTACAACGGTCACCTATAACAACCAGAGCCGAATGTCCTACGTGGATACGGGGCTGTTATCATAGGCCCAGTCCACCCTCGCACACCTCAGGATATCAGGCAACGAGCAGCTCACCCGTCGGTGTAGGCCGCCGCCTCCACCCCCCTTCTTTCTGTTACCACGGCTGCAGCCTCGCCCGCCCCTCCCGCTTGCCCACAACACCCGTCTCCCGTGCCTCTAACCTGTGTCCAGCACCGCTCCTTCGTTGCAGACCGGTGATCTCTCGCGATACACCCGGCAATCCAGGCTCCCAGCCGCTCCAGCTGCCCGTTTGAACCAGCTCACTGCGCAGTATGCTTAAACCTGATTGGTTCCCAGAGCAACAGCTACGGCTGTCAGCTGGTTGGGCAGTTTGAAGGCAGTGGGTGGGGCCCCATAAAAGGGCGGAGGGCGGACCTGGCGTGCGATGGAGGGGCGGGGCTGAGCTATGGAGGGGTAGGGCTCTCCTCGGACGTTATATATGATAGTTACTAGTTAGTAGCTGAGGACTGTGTGTGTAAGGGAGTTAGTATGAGTTCGTGGAAAATAAAAGGTGGAGATTCAGAATAGTTTCACCACCAACGTTCCTGTGACCCCATTCTTAATAAATAAGCCCATATGTGTCGCCTACAATAGACGTTGGGCGCCATTCATTTCACCATCTTCATTTTAATTGGCACCTCACTGCACTAAGTGCTTCGCAGAAGCGATTTTCCCTGCATTGGGGCCAATTCACAAAGGGGCCACCGTTATGTAGTGGGTTGCATCTCATCAAAACACAGGTTGCTGAAGTTGCCACAATGCTGAGGTGTGAATGAGCCCTTGTTCAAACCTAGGCGTTCCGTGAACGTGTCAAATTCCTGTTCAAACCTAGGCGTTCCGTGAACGTGTCAAAATCAGGGGAAAAAACATACATTTTGATGTGCATTCATGTAATGCGCCCAAAAATGTGCAACGCACTTGCGGCGCCACTACTAGGGCTGGTTCACACCACAAAAAGTGCGTTGCAGAGCAGTCAGCCTTTAGAACGCACCGTATTGCAACCCGGCCAACTGTATCGCAACCCGGCTGACCCCCCGCCCGCCCGCAGTGCGATCGCCTGCACCCGAACGCATGGCACATCAGTGCCTGCATTCCGGTCCAGTGCAATCTGCAAAAATGGTGCTTGCATCAATTTGCAGAACCACACTGGACTGGAACGCAGGCACTAATGTGCCACGCATTTGGGTGTGGGCGATTGCACTGCGGGCGGGCGGGGGGTCAGCCGGGCTACATGAGCTACTTTCCTGCGTTTCTCACGCATGCAAGAACCCGTTGAAATCCATGGGCAATATGCAGGAAACTAATGTGGTTTGCTTTCCCGCTGTGCTCAGGTGTGAGCGAGGACTAAAAGTCAGTCCAATGTTTACCACATACATTGAGGAGAGTTCATACTGGAGCAAAAAGGATCTGGAGAAGTCGCCCATGGCAACCAATCAGCTTATATCTTTACTTTTTAAAGCTTACCTGAACAAACTGAAGATAGAAGCTGATTGGTTACTATGGGAACTGCTCCAGATTTTGTCTGTTCCCGTTTTCATTAATCCCCCTCACCCATACAATCTGACCTGTTTGTACAATCTCCTTTACCAGAGCTGTAATATGGGGACCAAAATAAACTATCCAATCCATTTATATCCCGCCATGCAGGCCTTGTATT